AGGAAAGATTAATAAAGTTCATAATTCCTGCCCCATCCTGTTTCAATACTCTATAATGGACTGACCCATGTCAACTTTTGGGATGCGGAATTTCCGCTACAAGGAGAAATAATACCCAATGTGCAACTCGCACAGGACCTCCAATTGCTTTTCAATACACAAATACTACTGATTTTAAAAGTGCTGTTTAATTCTGAACCAACTCTGATATTTCAGTGTATTGCGCAAAGAAATCGAATTACAAACCAGTGTGAACTTACAACAAAGGAAGATGTTACGAACCTAGAAACAAATGGAATATCCACAGGTAGTAGGAACTGCAGATGCTGGAGAATCCGAGACAACAAGGTGCAGGGCTGGATGAACACAGCAGGCCAAGCAGCATCATAGGAGCAGAGAGGCTGACGTTTCGGGCCTAGACCCTTCATCAGAAAAGGGGGAGGGGAAGGGGGTTTTGAAATAAATAGGGAGAGAGTGGGAGGTGGATAGAGGAGGGATACAGGAGAGGATAGGTGGAGAGGAAATAAACAGGTCGAAGAGGCGGGGATGGAGCCAGTAAAAGTGTAGGTAGGGAGTTAGGAAGGGGATAGGTCAGTCCAGGGAGGACGGACAGGTCAAGGGGGCGGGATGAGGTTGGTCGGTAGGAGATGGAGGTGCGGCTTGAGGTGGGAGGAGGGGATAGGTGGGAGGAAGAACAGGTTAGGGAGGCAGGGACGAGCTGGACTGGTTTTGGGATGCGGTGAGGGGAGGGGAGATTTTGAAACTTGTGAAATCCACATTGATACCATTGGGCTGCAGGGTTCCCAAGCGGAATACAAGTTGCTGTTCCTGCAACCTTCGGGTTCCCAAGCGGAATACAAGTTGCTGTTCCTGCAGTGCCACAACGATGCCAATACTCCTCCTCCCACCCACCTTCCTGCAAAAATGCTATCCCCTATTCCCAATTCCCAATTCCTTCGCCTCCGCCGCATCTGCTCCCAGGATGAGGCATTCCACTCCCGTACATCTCAGTTGTCCTCGTTTTTCAAGGACCGTAACTTCCCCTCCTCGGTGGTCGAGAATGCCCTCAACCGTGTCTCCCACATCTCCCGCACCTCATCCCTCACACCCCGTCCACGCAATAAAAACCAAAAAAGAATCCCCCTCGTCCTCACGTACCACCCCACCAACCTCCGGATCCAACGCATCATCCTCCGACACTTCCGCCATCTGCAATCCGACCCCACCACCAAAGACATCTTTCCCTCCCCACCCTTATCTGCTTTCCGGAGGGACCAGTCTCTCCGTGACTCCCTTGTCCGCTCCACACTCCCCTCCAGCTCCACCACACCCGGCACTTTTCCCTGCAACCGCAGGAAGTGCTACACCTGCCCCCATACCTCCTCCCTCACCCCCATCCCAGGCCCCAAGAAGACTTTCCACATCAAGCAGATGTTCACCTGCACATCTGCCAATGTGGTATACTGCATCCGCTGTACCCGGTGTGGCTTCCTCTACATCGGGGAAACCAAGCGGAGACTCGGGGACCGCTTTGCAGAACACCTACGCTCGGTTCGCAACAAACAACTGCACCTCCCAGTCGCGAACCATTTCAACTCCCCCTCCCATTCCTCAGACGACATGTCCATCCTGGGCCTCCTGCAGTGCCACAACGATGCCACCCGAAGGTTGCAGGAACAGCAACTTATATTCCGCTTGGGAACCCTGCAGCCCAATGGTATCAATGTGGATTTCACAAGTTTCAAAATCTCCCCTCCCCCTACTGCATCCCAAAACCAGTCCAGCTCGTCCCTGCCTCCCTAACCTGTTCTTCCTCCCACCTATCCCCTCCTCCCACCTCAAGCCGCACCTCCATCTCCTACCGACCAACCTCATCCCGCCCCCTTGACCTGTCCGTCCTCCCTGGACTGACCTATCCCCTTCCTAACTCCCTACCTACACTCACCTTTACTGGCTCCATCCCCGCCTCTTCGACCTGTTTGTTTCCTCTCCACCTATCCTCTCCTCTATCCGCCTCCCACTCTCTCCCTATTTATTTCAAAACCCCCTTCCCCTCCCCCTTTTCTGATGAAGGGTCTAGGCCCGAAAAGTCAGCCTCTCTGCTCCTATGATGCTGCTTGGCCTGCTGTGTTCATCCAGCCCTGCACCTTGTTGTCTCGGAATATCCACAGGTTTCAGCTTTACAGAAAACATCATGTTAAACATTGATTCAAAGCAGATAAGCTTGCTTGTGATATAAGACACTACAAACAGAAGAAAGATTTTAATTTGCAAAAAATGATCACAATCAACATCTTAACCATATAACTGCTACATAGGTGGACACTGACAGAATATTTCATTGAATGGGAGTCAGCAGCTATTCTTCCACACAAGTGAAGTGAAATGTTACATCTAATTTCACTGAACTGTGAAACTTAGAGGCAATAATTAGCTCTAAAACTCTAGCTCTAATAACTAGCTCTAACACAAACGGCATCTAAAGTAGCTGAACACATTAAAGGCTTGCATTTGTATAGCCACTTTCACAACCTTAGGAAATCCTAAAATGCTTCACAACCAATAAAGTACTGTCAAAGGACTGCCACAGTGTAATGCAACCAATTTGAGCACAAGTTCCTACAAACAGTAATGTGACGATGATTATATAATATGCTTGTGTGTTGTTGACAGAGGGAAAAACAATAGCCAGGACATCTTTATGTGTATTTTTTCTATGGGATGTGAGGATCGCAGGCAGAGCCAGCATTTACTTCCTTTGAAGTGAGTGGCTTGCTTTTCAGAGGGCAGTTAAGAGTCAACCACATTGCTGCGGGCCCAGATTCACATCAAGTAAAGATGGCAGATTTCCTTCCTGAAGGCTATTAAGGAACTAAAAACAACACAGCTGACGAGTCATCTAGACTTGAAATGTTAGTTCGCTGTCTCTCCGTGGAAGCTGTCTGACGTGCTGTGATTGCCAGCATTGTGTTGTTTTCAGTACAGATTCCAGCATTTGCAGTAATTTGCTCCTGCTTTTAATGAACCAGTTTTTTTTTAAAGTGGTAAGTATTGGTCATTATCATGTCACCATTACTGAGAGTCACTTTACATTCACGATTTATTAAACAAACTTAAATTTCACCACCTTCCGTGGTGGGATTTGAACCCATGTCCCCGAAATATTAGCGTGGCCCTCTGGATTACACGTCCAACAGTATCACCATTAGGCCACCACTGCCCCATTGGATCAGTTTGGAGCACTTTCAGCTCAGTCAGAAGGCTTTTGGTTTGAGTTCTCCCTCAAGGTGGACTCTTCTGACCTGCACTGTCAGAAATGTTATCTTTTGGGTCAGACATTAAACTGAGGCTCCTTGTGTCCAAAAGAACCCAAAGAACTGTGGATAATGGAAACCCAAAACAAAAACAGAAATTGCTGGAGAAACTCAGTGGTTCTGGCAGTGTTTGTGGAGAGAAAGCAAAGCCAACGCTTAGTGCCCAGTTGCTCTTTTTCAGAACTGCAATATTGGGACGAAAACTAGCAAAATAAAACTTGTTCTTTTTTCTGTCCAAAAGCTTGCAGACTCGGAATGAGGTGAAGCCTTGGTCAAGCCCTCCAATTAGCTTCAAAATCATACTGACAACCTGACTATTTTTGTTTACTTTAGAAGCAGAGAAGTGGCACCTCAGTTACTCCATATTTATATTCCATTTGCAAAAGGATATGCAGGCAGACATGAAAATGAAGTGGATGAAGTACCCTGAGTATAGCCAATTTAAAAAGATTTACATAACATGTACAACAAAGAGATATGCCATTCAGCCCATCAAGTGCACTTATGCTTTGTTTCCAAATAACAAACATAAATCTTCACAAGTTCTAAAGTGCATGAAATAATGCCTGGCTTCAAATTTGATTGGTATTTCTACATTGTGTTAAGAAGGGAAGGCATAGTTTTACTTTTATATTTGTGTTCCATGTGCAGTGGGAGGGTGTCCAGAAGTGTATTTATATGTACATTAATGAGGTGGTTAAATCATTGAAGTGAACGGCACAGTTCACTAGAAAAAAAATTACTGTCTAGAGAAAAGGAATCTAGTGCCACAGAAAGACAGAACCATCCAGAAGAATACACAGCATACAGGTTTTATTGAGAGAGAAAAGGTCTGTAACAGTATGAGTGTTGTTAGCTTACCAGTCTCCAAAATAGTCTGGGCTGAAAGACATACTGAGTGACTTAAAAAACTAGTAAGAACAAACCTCCAGAAACAGTAACAAAGAGTTCTTAAATGTTTTGAGGTCCCTCCATCTACCATCCTTTCAGACCGGTGGCTCAGTGGTTAACACTGCTGCCTCACAGCGCCAGGGACCCAGGTTCGATTCCAGCCTCCGGCGACTGTGTGTGGAGTTTGCACACTCTCCCCACGTCTGCGTGGGTTTCCTCCAGATGTTCCGGTTTCCTCCCACAGTCCAAAGATGTGCAAGGTAGGGGGACTGACCATGCTAAATTGCCCGTAATGTTCAGGGATGTTTAGGTTTAGGTGGGTTAGACATGGGGAATGGGTCTGTACGGGATGCTCTTCGGAGGGGCGGTGTGGACTTGTTGGGCCGAATGGTCTGTTTCCACACTGTAATGACTCTATATCCACCACCCTCTGGGATAAAAAAAAATTCTTAAATCACCTCTAGACCTCCTGCTCCTTACTTTAAATCTATGCCTCCTTGTTATTAACCACTCTAAGGGCAAAGTTTTGTCTGTTTATACGCCTCAATTAGGTCATCCTCAGCCTTCTTTGCTCAAAGGAAAACAAGCCCACCCTACCCAGTCTCCTTGCTTAGCCAAAACATGCCATCCCTGGCAACAGCCCAGGGAATTGCCTTTGCACCCACTTTTTTTTGGTTTTGTTTTAGCATGCGGTCCATATTCTGAATTTCCAACTATCATCAAGTACTTTCTCTTCATTTATATTTTAAAGAATGAATTATAAACAACCAGCAAGTGTAGGAAACAAATTCTTACCTGAGCACGAAAGTTCGAGATGGTTGTAGTTTCTATATCCTTCTTCCCCAAGATTTCCATTTTCACTGGAGTATTGGGGAAGTTGAAAGCAAAGTAATCTAGAAAGTCTGGCAGGTAAGCTGCGGCTCCATGTACAATAGCCATTACATAGTGAGCTGCACTCTTTTCATTTTCACTGAAAGTCAAAGCAAGAAATTCTTCAGCAAACCTCTCCATCTCCATAGGAGACAAGAAAGAGAGTTCATCCATGTAGGCATGGAGCACTGGTGCACCACCATTTGGTTGATGCTCCACGTGAATGAAATGGGCAAACTTAGAGGAACCTGTCCGTAAGAGTCCCTTCCGTACACAGTGGTCTCTGTGAGATAAGTACGGTAACTGTGCACCTGAGGGGATGGCACAATGGCTCATTTTCATATCCAACCTGTCAAGTTGTTCATTATGTTCAACAGAGGATTTGTTGATTACCCTCGATTCATCAAAGGAACCGTGTCCCAAAGTGTCCAGGTCAATGTGAGTGATTCCTGCACAGGTCGTCTGAACCTCTTTGTTGTACATTTTTAGCCGTCTCGGTCGCTCACCTTCCCGATGTTTCTTTTTCTTCTTTTTCTTTGTTTTTTTGCCCAGGTACTCATCCAGTCTCCGGCTTTTCCCATTTTCATCAGAGCCACCTGTGATAGGGAATAAATTCCAAGGTTGTATCAAATCTATACTGTACAACTGCAAATCTAAACCCAAGGCTTTATGTTTTCTTCTCTATGTAGAGGCTGAATCAGTAACCACATAGGAACAGTCTGATTGTTAGTATTCTCCGAGATGTGTATAGGGTGCTAACTTATTATGAATAATTTTACTGCAAAAAAAGTTCTTAAAAGTTCCATTATGTTGAGAACATACAGTACATCATAGGAACAAAGGATGTGGTTGCGTGCAGCTCCCATTCAGCCCAGCTATTCATAGAAGATTACAGACGATTAGCTGTGCTCTCAACTTCACGTTCCTGTCTGCTTTTCACTCATCAAAATCCACTGTAGCCTTGAATAAATACAATGACCCAGTCTCCTTGTTTTCCACGGAAGAGATTTCCCCAACTGTACACAGTACATCAGATACGGTCTCAACAGGACCCTGTACAGGTGCAGTAAAAGTTCCTATTCCATTTGCCTTGCAATAAATGCAAACAGTCCATTTGTCTTGCAGTACCTGCTAACTAACTGTTTGTGATGCACACAGCAGGCCACCCAGATTCCCCCGAGTTCAGCGTTCTCTTGCCATTTAAATAGAATACTACATTGCTATTTTTGGGGCAAAAGTGGATAAGTTTATGTTTTCCTACTTTATTCTCCATCTGTCCAATTTTTGCCAAATCTCAACCTATCTATATCCCTTTGCAGACACTCCATTCCCACCTGCACCCCTTCCCCCACCCAACTCAACAACGGACTTTCTCAGCGAACTTGGCACCAGCGGCAAATCTAGCTCCCTTGTTTTCAGAGCCACATCCAAGTCACTGATATAGATTGCAAATGGTTAAGTTCCCAGTACTCTTCCCTGGCACTCCACTAGTTATAGCTTGCTAACCCAAAAATGAACCACTTATCCCTGCTGCATCGTGATGGCCAACCACACTTTTATCTATACCGACATATCACGCCAACACCACGACCTCTTATTTTGTGTAGTAACATTTGACATGGTACTTTAATTTCTTCTTTAAGATATATTAAATATTGCTTAATTTTTTTGTCGTGGAAATGCTTACATCATTAAAACACACGTTGCTTGTGGTTAATATATTCAGCTTGGTTGATATTTTTGATTGAGCTAAGGTAAGTAGAGATATAGCTCGGAAATGAAAGATCATTAACCTTTTATCCTCAGACAGCCTGTACTCTCAGTGAGAGGCCTGTGCAAGATAATTTGATATATTAAGTTTTGGTATATGTTTAAATTGGGTTAACAAAGCAGAATTTTGGGTAGGTTAATCAAGGGATACCATACAACCAACAGACACAGGTCTGTACAAGTTCAATTCACAAGTATATACTGTCAGCATTATAGATCTGAAGAACTGGAATCAAGTTTCAAATGACTGGAGTATATTTGGGTGCCAAAAGCTTTAATGAGATATGAATAGATGCCATATAGACCTGATATTCAAGACGACTGCAGTCTGCAGCTTAATCCAAGAGATGATATTACAACATCAGTCTGCAGGGCATAGTACAAGACAGCTCTGGACAAGACTATTTGACCCATCATAATCGGATTTCCTGTGACTGGTGTGCTACTAGAGATTAACTATAGTAACTAGGAGTTAAAATAAAAAGTAGAACCTCCTAGGCATTAATCTCAGATTTACCACCTGAGCCATTAGCAAACTGGCACAGGTAAATAAAGCCAAGGAGTTAAATGCAAGGTTTAAAGATTGGTATGGGAGGAATGTGTTTCAGTTCATGAGGCACTAGTTTCAGCATTGGGAAAGAAGGGAGCTATTCTGGTCAGGCTTCACTTGAACCATGCTGAGACCAGTGTCCTGATGCATTGAATACCAAGGGCTGTAGAGAGCAATTTAAACTCATGGTTTCAGGGGTGGAGGTTGGCGGGGTAGGGGGAAAATGCATAGACTTACAGAGCAAGGGATGTAGTAGGAGGAATTAAACTCAATAACTACTACTAGATAAAAGTGTGAAATAAAAGTGATGGGGGCTAAAGGCTAATACTTCCCCTGGAGAGATAAGTTTCATCTTAGGATTTCAAAGGAAGTAGCTACAACGATAATGGATTCACTGGCAACAATTTTAAAGAAGAACAGAACAACTGGTTTTATTTAAGTGAGGAAAGTCTATAGAAAGCCACAGCACTGACCGAACTGGGGGTTCTCCTGCAAGAATCATAAACATCACCACACAAGTTCACCAGAAAAAGGCAAATGGACTGCTGGCTTTTATTTCAAAGCGAATGGAGTATGAAAGTAGGGAAGTCTTGTTAAGATGATATAAGGCATTATTCAGTGAATAGTTTCAGTCCCTTTATTTAACAAAAGGAATATTGCTATTAGAGGCAGTCCAAAGAATTGATTTCAGGTAGAAAGAGATTTTCCTACCAGGAGAGACCAAATAGGTTGAGCTGCACTCATTAGAGTTTTGAACAATGAGAAGAGTCTTTATTGAAACATAAAAGACCCTTAGGGCTTGACATGTTAGATAGGTAACTTCTCTTTTGTGGTAGAATCCAGGACTAGAGGCTCATCCATTTTTCTCTTTCACATGCTAGTGAATCTGTGGAATTCTTTACTGCTGACAGCCGTCAATGCTGAGATAGACAGATTTTTAAATCAGTAAGGGAATCGAGGATAATGGAGTAAAGGCAGGAAAGTGAAATTGCAGAGTATCGGGTTAGTTTGGACCTCAGACTTTTAAATTTAATGTTGATCTTGCTCATTCTGCACCTTCTCTGCAGCCAAAACACTGTATTCCTCACTCTGTTCTATTACCCTATTACACTTTGTATGGTATGATCTGCCTGTACTGTGTGCAAAACAAAACTTTTCACTGTACCAAGGTACATGCAACAGTAAACAAATCAAATAAAACCCATGATCTCAATGAATGGCAGAGCAGACTGGAGGGGTCAAATGGCCTATTACTGCTCCCCTGTCTTATGGTCTTCTTACTTAAGCATTTTATTGCTATATTGACATTTTTTTTGCTCTCCAGAATTGATTACATCTTCTAGATTTCTCCCAACTTCCTTTATAGCTATTTCAACATCCACAAGTTACTTACATGATCTGTTCTATGAGCATTTTGGTAATATTACATTTCATCTGTCATTATTCCGTACATTACAAACATTGCCCACCTTACTTTTGTGTTTTAAAGTCCACCATCTCAGCAACTGTCTCTCCTAGGTCACCATCAAACTATTGCTAAGTGAGGTTTCTGAAAAACTATTAAAAACACAGTCCTGTGCTCAAACATCATTCAAATTATGCCCTACAAAGCTGTGACACAAAACGGCTGACCACATCAATGTAATTACCAATGGGAAGGACTAACAATTTGATTCCTAGGTGAAGGACATGGAGATGAAGACACCTGAGAAATTAGTTTATCAATCTCAAATTACACTACTAGAAAGTTCAATCACATTTCCTGTGATGGGATAAGTGGATTGAAGAGGGAAAAAGACAGGAGAGAGAAAGTAAAAGACAACAATGTCACCTTTTACCTTGTATTCATCAACATTTCAGAAGAACATCATTTCACACAACTACATCAGCCAACGTTCCACATGGCAGACTAGTTAAAATAAATGTCAATGGGATCTAAGAGAATGCATCAAGCTGATTACAAAATTGGCTCATTAGCAGGAAACAGAAAGTAATGTTGAGTGTTTTTGCTGTTTCCAGTGGGGCTCCCCAGGGCTTAAAGTTAGGTCCCTGTATTTCTGTGATGTGTATATAATTGATTTGAACTTAAGTACAGCGGGTATAATCAAAGAAGATCACAGACAGCAGAAAAAAATGGTTGTATGGCATTTAGTGAGGATGGAAGCTGCAGACTGCAAGGAGGTCCCAAAGGACAGGCCAATTTTCTGCCCAACTGACAAATCGAATTCATCCTGGAGAAATGTGAGCCGATGCTGGGAAATTGAGGGACGTTAAAGTGAATGCCCTCAGATCCCTGAAAGGAATAGGGCAGGTCAATAAGATAGGTTAGACAGTGTATGGCATCCCTTTCTTTATTAGCTGAGGCAAAAAAAGAGAGCAGGGATGTTATCCTGGAACTGCATAAATCATCACAACTTAAGTACTGAATGCAGTTCTGGTTATCTCATTACAGAAGGGATGCAGTTGCATAAGAAAGTGTACAGAGATTTACAAGGATATCGCAAGGACTAGAAAATTGCAGCGAGAAAAGATTAAATAGGCTGTGGTCGTAATCCTCGAAACACAGGGGTCTAAGGAAAGATTTGATTGGGGTGCAAAGGTTGAGAGAGTCTGGATATAGTCAATGGGAAGGACCTACTTTCCTTAGCAGAGGGTTCAGTTAAACGGGATCATGGATTCAAAGTAATTGGTAAAAGAGTTACTTTTTCCACCCAGAGGGTGATAGGGATCTGGAACTCTGCCTGAAAAGCCAGTAGATGCAGAAACCCTTATCAGATTTTAAAAAATGTCTGGGCATGCACCTGAAATCCTGAATCCTCCAAGGGTACGGACCAAGTGATGGAAAATATGGTCGAGTTGGGTGGTTAATTGTCTGGTTGGTGCCGACATGACGATCTCTCCTTTGGTATCATAAACGTTTCCACATTTTTAGATGTGGAAGGAGAGCAGCAGTGTATGGACATTTCCTTCAGAGGGCTAGAGGAAACACGATGGGTTGAAGGCTCCCTTTTGTTGTAACAATTCAGTGATTCTATGATGATTACCTGCAGCATACCTTCAGCAGCACTATAGTCCAATGTGCAGGAAAGACTATTGCTCTACCTGGAGATTGTAGTAAGGCAAGTCCCTCAAGCTAAGTTTACATGAATATGTAGTCACAAAGAATAATTTCACCTGATGTACCCATCAGAAACCTACAGGATTGAATGCCACATTGGTTTTACATCTGTTCGTAATTCACTCCTCTAAGTCAGTGAGCAGTAACATGGGATTGTA